TGAAACCTCCAGCAGCAAAGAAAGAGTTAACAGAACTTTTCAAAACAACCAATCAGAACAAAGCAACAGTAGTATAAAACCCCTAAGCAGGCTCTTCCACTTCCTCTTTCTTTGATGAGGTCGAGCAGGAGAGCAAGGAAACCAACGAATCCACCTTGTAGCAGACACATCCAGAGAAACAATCGTCAAGCCCAGAGAGAAAACAGATTACACTGCAAGAAAACAGAAAACATCGTGAAAGTAAACTGTCAAGGCAAGATGTCATATCCATACAATATCACTTTCACACCATAATACCTGATGAATAAACAAAGTCTACAGATCTTATGAAGTATTGGTATGTACTTAAGCTAAAAGGCATTGATGAAACATAATTACAACACAAACATGATGAATAAAACGCACACGGACAACCATCACTGAATATTAGAAATAACCTTTATTATGTAAAACCATGCATTCACAAAACATAACAATATCCCCAATTATTTATAATAGAATAAAACCCAGATCCAGGGAGGGAACGTAAAAAAGGGGGGGAAATATTCGCCTCCTGTCTTTAATAAAATTTAGATTATTCCCTCACCGAGGCTAGAATAATCCCTAATTTTATGGCAGGACAGGAGGCTTCATATTTGCAATTTTAACACCCAAATAGTAGAACCAGAAGCAATATGAGATAGAGGACTGAAATAAAGGAGAATGGAAAAACTGATTCCCTAAACCAAGCAGCGGTGTAGAGAAAATGCAGAAGGGACCCAACGGCTTCCAAAATTGTTGAGGTGACAGCACCCCGAACCAAAAGTGTCCAAGAGGAACTCAAGGTCAGTCAATGAGAGGATCCACCAAATCCAACGGGCAAGCAAAGATGCAGAAACAGTCCAAAACGGCCGTACGCGAGTAGACGGACGAAAGAACCAGATCCTGGATCTACATGGTCGTGTACAATCTGTCAACAGAGCCGTGGCCTATCCGGAGAATAGGCGTACGACACAGAGGACGAATAAAAATTAAATATGTGTGGAGCAGAAGCCGATGTACTGAGCGGCAAGAAGGAAGAAGACGTCGATACCATGACGTCAGAACGCGATGAAATACAAGATGTACTGGGGGGGGAACCGTAAGTGGAAAAAACTGGTGCACCTGGTCATCAGGTCATTCCTCAATGAAATGCAGAACACACGATACCACTAGATTTGAGGAATAGCGAGAGATAGGGCTACCGTACGGTATACTCCTCTTGGTAGACTGCAGACCAAGAGATCCTTAGCAATGCCAGAATCTTGAGAAAACGCACATGGGTCGTCCACTAGCTGACATAGGACATGAATGGCCCCATACAATCCTACCCTGAGAGGGCAACTCAGCCAGACAATGGGGACAGCCATGATAAGGACCGCCATTGGGACCCAAACACCAGTCGTGGCAGGCTACCCCTGTGGATCCCACGTGGGACATTAAGAGACAGGGAGTTGTAGATTGCCTTCCCATGGCAAACTCCAGCAAAAAGGGGAAAGCACGCAGGACTCCTCCGAAGTGGTTTGGCCAGGCGAAACGACACTTCCAGGAATTCGGTCTGAAGCAAAAGTATTCTGTAGGTAAACGGGATGCGTACACCCCGAAGGAGACAAAGCTTGGAAAACTCGTCCCTCGCCTCGCTGAGGGTCCGGCAGCCAGGTGGAGAACCGCTCCGTATGGTGGTTCGCACCGAATGTAATCATGCCAGTACTCGAGACCCCGGAGGGTGAGGCAACCAATCATTGGGGTCTCTCCATGGTCAGGTGAAGCCGTCCGCCACATGAGTGTCTCGTCCCGCATACATTCTGTCACAAATGGCGAATACTTGTCCAGAAGCTATAGATAGCCATCCTATGTGAGATCCGACTGCAGTCCGTAGTGGGCAACCGGTGAGAAGTCCATGCCGGAAGGTAGCGAGCAATACTGTGAACGTTGAACAAACCTGCAGGTAGTTCCATGCAGTTGGCGTAAAGGAGTCCCTCCTCCGGAGTCATCAATTAAGTTTTAGATGAGCTTCATCCGAAGGTCACATGATTTGGTCATACCAGGCCGAAGACCCGAGAAAGCGCCATGTTGGAGCGGCTGATAGTACCGGATCCTGGAGGTATGGCTTCCATGGTGAATAGGCACCGGTCAATTAACCGGGTTGGGCCCCTAAGTGTAACCCGCGGGTTGCGGAGCATATACCTGGTATTTTCCTTGAAGACGGACATCTTGGTCCTCGGGAGGCGGAGCACCGCCTGGACTGAATATTCCATGAAAGACCGGAAACTGGGTTGACTGGGAGTGAGTCAGATTCAATATGTCCATGTTGATGGCAAAATCCATGCGGGTTTCTCTCATGTGCATTTGAGGGAGAGAACCAATCGTCAATGCCGAGCAGCTCTCAGAGGGGATGAGTGCCCTCCGTCTCAAAATGTGTCAACAGACGACATATGCACTGGGAGCATGTAGCGTGGGGATGGGGCGGGAGTCCACTCCACTCCACCCTTTGCCCAGCAGGGCAACTGCAGAATGAGTCGGAATGGATGCCTCTTTTGGTCATGCGTATCGCTCATGGAACGGTCCAAGGTTCCGCAACCTTGATCTGGAGTCCGGGCACGGTCCGAGAGACCTCTGGGGCTAGTTAAGGGGGAACCCTATGAATAGAGACGTGTCAGCTCAATTTGTACACGAGGGTAACTCCGGAGAGCAGACCCAGCACTTGGATGCTAAATCCATCAGTTTGATGTCCAGCTTGGACAGGGGCCGTTTTGCGGTTCTCAGGGGTAGAAACCAACTAGGCGATACCTATAAGTCATATCGGTCCATTCCCAGTGGGAATTTAGTCTTCTCCGCTTTCCAAGCGGTAACGCGAGGTTCGTCCCGAGGAAACATCTGTGTCCGCGTGTCACCGACATCCACTGGTTAGTCCCAGATAGAGTGCAAACCCCGTGTCAGGTGTTTGCGGTGTCCTTTCCGGACTCCATCATGAAGACTGATCCTCTTGATGTATCCATCCGTTAGCCAACGAGTACCAGGGGTGCTTGGTGTAGCGTCTAGGATGGCCGGTGGAGTGTCCCCGTAGGGTACCGATGGTTTCTGGCAGTCAGCGGGGCGGCAAGAGGACAGGCCAAGTGACCTTCTGGGTACGGGAGATTTATCCTTCTGCCGTGATTGCACAACTGCCATAGAGGTAACACTGTCGGAATGATACCTGGTGCGGCCAGCTGGGGGTCACCCAGAGTGCAAGAGGGGGTCACCCAACAAGCACAAGTATACCATGCAGTATAGGCCAGCAGGGGAGGGGGTCACCGTCAGTCTGAACATAATCGGACACTGTAGGTGCAGTAGTGCCGAAGTGGTTAGCCGTATAATAAAGTAACTAGACATTGCCGGTCCAGCAGTGTAGACGGCAGGAGGGGGTCACCCTCATATAACCAGAACCGGGCATTGCAGATCCAGCAGTGCTGTAGGTAAGAGGGGGTCACCCTCAGTGTGTACACCCAGCAGTGTAGTCACCCTCATTATGGTTATAACGGGACCCTGTAGGTCCAGCAGAGTAGTCCACAGGAGGGGGTCACCCTCAGTATCTGCGTATTGCAGGGCACTGTAAGAACAGAAGCTCAATCAGTGGGAGGGGTACCCTCTTTTATGGGAATACCCGGACGCTGCAGGTCCAGCAGTGCAGACTGCAGGAGGGGTACCCCCTCAGTATGATAATAGCAGGACATTGCCAGAGCATTAGTATAGGAAGCAGGAGGGGGTCACCCTCAGCATTAATCTTACAGGACAATGTAGAGCCAGCAGGGTACTCATAGGTAGCCATGTTGCCATAGGGAGGGGGTCACCCAGCCCACAATGGTGTCACACGTCCATTATTATGGTCCAGTAGCGGGTAGAGCCCCACAAATATGGATGGGAGGTTCACCCCCCCAGTAATAACAGGTCTGAATGTGGGGCCAGTAGCCCCCTGAGGGGTAGGAGGGTCCATATAGCGAGAAGCTGACTCACAGACCACTCAGGTATTATATTAGGATACACCTTTGAAGTGTATGTGTAGTGGAAAATGTAAGTCCCTTGCAGGAAGGACAGCAAATCCTAGGCAGGGGAGCTAGGTGCTGAAAAACAGGCCATTTCATTTTTATGAGAAAAAGACTGAACCTTAGAGAAAGACTTGATTAGCATATAACACGTGGGATAGTCTTGTTAAACAAAGATTTTTATTTGAGCAGTAACATTTAAATCTGAGATTCATATGTAATTGTAAAAAAGTGTGACAAGTCTACTGCTAAGATAGAGAACCTAGTCACATTGCATCAGACATAGTAAGCTGCAGTTGTGAGCGTGCCTGGGACAGATCCTGCTATGATCCTGCTATCCAGGATCTGTTCCATATGCAGCATGTGAGACAGGCACAGTAAGTAGAGGGATAGCTGAAAAACTGGGCTATCTCCTCTGATATAGGGAGAGGGGAGGGTGGCCACATGGCCAGCAGGCCAGTTCGTGGGTGAGACCTGGCTGTTCGCAACGCACAGAGCCCATGTGGCTCTGAAAAATGGCCACCACGGCTCCAACAAAATGGCTGCCATGGCTGCAAAAACAGAGCGCGGCCTACCGCGTGGTGATCGTGCGGCACTGCCACGGTAGAAAAAGCTGCTCAGCAAGCGGCCAGGGGCCACGGGGAGCAGGTGGGGAATAAGGGAGGTATGGGCGACAGAGCCCAGCAGGGGAACCCGGGGAGGGGAAACAGCTTACAGGCAGAGCCAAAGCATCATAACAGGGGCACCCATTCCCCATACAGCAGAGTGAGAAAAACTGCATAAAGTAACCCAGAATAACAATACATCAATGAGCAGTATCCAGAATCTATCAGATAAATAGCCTTAATACAGCAACAGATGTTAACAAGTGATACAGCAGCTACATAGCATGAAGTGATATAGGAAATAACACAGAATAGACTGCCTAGCTAAACCCAACAATAGACTGCCTAGCTAAACCCAGCAATAGACTGCCTAGCTAAACACAGCAATAGACTGCCTAGATAAACCCAGCAATAGACTGCCTAGCTAAACCCAGCAATAGACTGCCTAGATAATCCCAGCAATAGACTGCCTAGATAAACCCAGCAATAGACTGCCTAGATAAACCCAGCAATAGACTGCCTAGCTAAACCCAGCAATAGACTGCCTAGCTAAACCCAGCAACAGACTGCCTAGCTAAACCCAGCAACAGACTGCCTAGATAATCCCAGCAATAGACTGCCTAGCTAAACCCAGCAATAGACTGCCTAGATAATCCCAGCAATAGACTGCCTAGATAAACCCAGCAATAGACTGCCTAGCTAAACCCAGCAATAGACTGCCTAGCTAAACCCAGCAATAGACTGCCTAGCTAAACCCAGCAATAGACTGCCTAGATAAACCCAGCAATAGACTGCCTAGCTAAACACAGCAATAGACTGCCTAGATAAACCCAGCAATAGACTGCCTAGATAAACACAGCAATAGACTGCCTAGATAAACCCAGCAATAGACTGCCTAGATAAACACAGCAATAGACTGCCTAGACAAACACAGCAATAGACTGCCTAGCTAAACCCAACAATAGACTGCCTAGCTAAACACAGCAATAGACTGCCTAGATAAACACAGCAATAGACTGCCTAGATAAACACAGCAATAGACCGCCTAGAAGCTAAACCCAGCAATAGACCGCCCAGCCAAACCAGCAATACCCGCCTAGCTGCAAAACCCAGCAATAGACCGCCTAGGATAAACCCAGCAATAGACCGCCAGCTAAACCCAGCAATAGACCGCCCAGCTAAAACCCAGCAATAGACTGCCTAGGGCCAAACCCAACAGATCACCGTCTAGCCAAACACAGAATAGACTGCCTAGCTAAACACGGCAATAGACTGCCTAGCTAAACCCAGCAATAGACTGCCTAGCTAAACCCAGCAATAGACTGCCTAGCTAAACCCAGCAATAGACTGCCTAGCTAAACCCAGCAATAGACTGCCCAGCTAAACCCAGCAATAGACTGCCCAGCTAAACCCAGCAATAGACTGCCTAGCTAAACCCAGCAATAGACTGCCTAGCTAAACCCAGCAATAGACTGCCCAGCTAAACCCAGCAATAGACTGCCCAGCTAAACCCAGCAATAGACTGCCTAGCTAAACCCAGCAATAGACTGCCTAGCTAAACACGGCAATAGACTGCCTAGCTAAACACGGCAATAGACTGCCTAGCTAAAACCAGCAATAGAATGCCTAGCTAAACCCAGCAATAGACTCGTCGTGGATGTTCCAGCAATAGACTGCCCAGGGATAAACCCCAGCAATAGACCGGCCTTAGATAAACCCAGAAAGCAATAGACTGCCTAGCTAAACCCAGCAATAGACTGCCTAGGCTAAACTCCAGCAAATAGACCGCCTAGCTAAACCCAAGCAATAGGACTGCCTAGCTAAACCCAGCACACCGCTCAGGATAAACCTAGCAAATAGACTGCCTAGCTAAACCCAGCAATAGACCGCCTAGCTAAAACCTGCAGCAATAGACTCCTAGATAAACACAGCAAATAGGACTGCCTAGAGCAAACAACAACAATCACTGCCTAGCCAAAACCCAGCAAATCGACTGCCCTGTAAACCAGCAATAGACCGCTCCAGATAAACCGGTGCCAAATAGACCACCGCCTAGATGTCACATTGGCAATAGACTGCCTAGATAAACCCAGCAATAGACTGCCTAGCTAAACCCAGCACTAGACTGCCTAGATAAACACAGCAATAGACTGCCTAGCTAAACACAGCAATAGACTGCCTAGCTAAACCCAGCAATAGACTGCCTAGCTAAACACAGCAATAGACTGCCTAGATAAACACAGCAATAGACTGCCTAGCTAAACACAGCAATAGACTGCCTAGATAAACCCAGCAATAGACTGCCTAGATAAACCCAGCAATAGACTGCCTAGATAAACACAGCAATAGACTGCCTAGCTAAACCCAGCAATAGACTGCCTAGCTAAACCCAGCAATAGACTGCCTAGCTAAACCCAGCAATAGACTGCCTAGATAAACACAGCAGACAAACTGTTAAAACAAATCCAGCAAGAGCCCTGCCTAAATAAATCCAGCAATTAAGCTGCCTAAACAAACCTAACAAATAGACTGATTAAATAGACTGATTAAATAAACAAGCAGCATGTAGAATAAAACAACAACCAAGAGCAGAGACAACTCTGAGTTGGTGAGTGCTCACCTGGAGGCAGCAGCAAAGAAAGAGGAAGTGGAAGAGCCTGCTTAGGGGTTTTATACTACTGTTGCTTTGTTCTGATTGGTTGTTTTGAAAAGTTCTGTTAACTGTTTCTTTGCTGCTGGAGGTTTCAGTAAAGAAGGTAAAGCAAATATGAAGCCTCCTGTCCTGCCATAAAATTATAGTTAAAGTATGGAGTTTGGCACCATTGAACTAACCAAAAACCAGGAGAAGTGAGTGCGAGGCACAAGGGTATCTCATGGAAACATAACATCACAATTTCCTGCTGTAGTGAACGGTTTATTGAATAAGCCTGGTCAAGGATGGATGTTGGATCGCTGTGCCTGCTTGCATTCAACCAACATATACTCTGTTTATGATCATGGAAGAGTGGCCATTTCAGTGATGACTGACTGTATTTCCGAATCTACCTTTCTGTAGGCATCCTAGTATCCATGCTTGCAGAAAGCTAGCCGGTTAGACCTCGGTGGCAGCAAATGTGCAAATTAATTCAGGATCTGTAAATAAAGAACATAACATGTATATGCAATTTTAATACATATTTATTCTATTCTAAATATATATAACAAAATGTCTGCAGGTTCTAAATGGGAGAAGAACATATATAAGAACTGTTTAATAAATGAAATAACAGAATTGGAAGGTTTAAGGTAATGTTTTTACATGTTCTGTATCATACAGAGAAATTAAATAGTTTCACACACACTGAAATCTATTAATATGACAAAACAAGAAGGTGAAATTCAGATTACAATTGGAGAAGGAGGTTTTGCGCACACAATGGATAAATAGCGGTTAAAATCTGAAATACAGAAAAACTATCATAGGGCAATATGCATACATAAAGTATATACTAGAAAAGTAACTTGGAGCACTCACAATCTAGAGAGCCGTATAAACTCTCTACTTTAGTAGCGTGTAGAATACTCCAATATTGATGCTGCAGTTAAGGTGATGGTCCCCCGGGAACAGAAGTCAAATTCTGTCTGGATAAAAATCAGGAACCAAAATAAAATATAAATGTATTCTTTTATTTGAAAAAAACAAACCATAGGAACAGGCACAACGCGTTTCGACCACTCGCTTGGTCTTCCTCAGGTGCAATAATGGTACACAGCAATGACAGGTTTATAAACCTTATACATAAATACAAAAATAAATAACACATGTGTAAAACTAATACAAATCCCGCCCACCATAGTCCATATATGGCAGTTCCGGTCCTTTTTTCCCTTCCAATATGGAGGATAGGTAGTCTTTGTTCCATATCTTCTATATATGCTGACCTTCTTAACATGGCCGTACTTTATGGATATCCGTTTTCAGTCGCGTCACTTCCGGTATTGAGCTGAAACATCACTACTGGTTTGCGTCTTCTGAACAGAGGGTGGAACGTTTTTATTCCGAAAATATGATTGGCTCGTCATACTGAGTCCATAATAAATTTGCTACACGTTACTCATAGTAACCATAGAAAAGAAAGGAAAGGGTAAAAAAATTTAGCAGATAAATGCAATTACATATAATAAAATAAAATACACAAACATACAAACAATATGCATATATTAAAAATATATATATCCATTAATTGGCAATGTGATAAAAACAAATTCAATTTAAAATCAGTTCTTAAGATGACGATCATAATATACTAACAAAATATATTGTTATATTATATAATATTACTGTTCATAATTGTCACTATGCACTAAACAGACATAACATGTTGAAAATGAAGGGGAAGAGAGTCAGACAGAGAGATGGAGTGAGTGAGAGAGAGTCAGTGTGAGAGGGGGAGAGAGTCAGACAGTGAGATGGAGGGAGAGAGAGTCAGACAGAGAGATGGAGTGAGAGTGAGAGAGAGTCAGACAGAGAGATGGAGTGAGAGGGAGAGAGAGTCAGAGTGAGAGTGAGAGGGAGAGAGAGAGTAAGACGGATGGAGTGAGAGGGAGAGAGTGAGATGGAGTGAGATAGAGTCAGACAGAGAGATGGAGTGAGAGGAAGAGATAGTCAGAGTGAGAGGGGGAGAGAGTCAGACAGTGAGATGGAGTGAGAGGGAGAGAGTCAGACAGTGAGATGGAGTGAGAGGGAGAGAGTCAGAGTGAGAGGGGGAGAGAGAGTCAGACAGTGAGAGGGAGAGAGTCAGACAGTGAGATGGAGTGAGATAGTCAGAGAGATGGAGTGAGAGAGAGAGAGAGTCAGACAGTGAGATGGACTGAGATAGAGTCAGACAGTGAGATGGAGTGAGTGAGATAGAGTTAGACAGTGAGATGGACTGAGAGGGAGAGAGAGTCAGACAGTGGAGATGGACTGAGAGAGATAGAGAGTCAGACAGTGAGATGGAGTGAGAGGGGGAGAGTCAGACAGAGAGATGGAGTGAGAGGGGGAGAGTCAGACAGAGAGATGGAGTGAGAGGGGGGGAGTCAGACAGTGAGATGGAGTGAGACAGAGAGTACGACTGAGATGGAGTGAGGGAGAGTCAGACAGTGAGATGGAGAGAGAGTCAGACAGAGAGATGGAGTGAGAGTGAGAGAGAGTCAGAGAGATGGAGTGAGAGTGAGAGAGAGTCAGACAGAGAGATGGAGTGAGAGGGAGAGAGAGTCAGAGTGAGAGGGGGAGAGAGAGTCAGACAGAGAGATGGAGTGAGAGTGAGAGAGTCAGAGAGATGGAGTGAGAGGGATAGAGTCAGACAGTGAGATGGAGTGAGAGGGGGAGAAAGTCAGATTGAGAGGGAGAGAGAGAGTCAGACAGTGAAATGGAGGGAGAGAGAGAGTCAGAGTGAGAGGGGGAGAGTCAGACAGTGAGATGGAGTGAGATGGAGAGAGTCAGACAGAGAGTCAGAGTGAGAGGGGGAGAGAGAGTCAGACAGTGAGATGGAGTGAGAGGGAGAGAGAGTCAGAGTAAGAGGGGGAGAGAGAGTCAGACAGTGAGATGGAGTGAGATGGAGAGAGTCAGACAAAGAGATGGAGTGAGAGGGAGACAGAGTGAGAGTAAGAGTGAGAGAGAGTCAGACAGAGAGATGGAGTGAGATGGAGAGAGTCAGACAGAGAGATGGAGTGAGAGGGAGAGAGAGTCAGAGTGAGAGAGAGTCAGACAGAGAGATGGAGTGAGAGGGAGAGAGAGTCAGAGTGAGAGTG